GTCCTCTCTTAAGGTTTCACCCAGTCCATGTTGGCCCATCCTGTGTGACTCTCCATCATGTCCTCTCTTAAGGTCATCTAAGGGGGCCCACCCAATGTGCTGGAGGCCTTCCTCACTACCTGCTCTCATGATCATAACTCCAGTGTTATTCCTCGTTCTTGCTGTGTGCCCAGGCCCTCTTCTTTGGTGATCATTTCTCTTCTCTCTCTCATTAGGTGATTAAGACATAATAACCTAGACATTCTCTTTGTCAGAGAAGCACTGAATTGTTCAGGGAGGATCATGTTTTTTTTTTGTTTTTGTTTTTGTTTTTGTTTCCAGGGTGAGAACCTCATCTTACACACCTTTGCATCCACCACAATGATTAATATAGTGCCTTACTCAAAGTAGGCATTGCAGAAAGATTTGCTGATTCCTGTCACATAGTAAGCACTTAATAAATGTCTGTTGATAGACAGGTAGACAAAGGCAGATTTATGGGTGGGATGGTGTCAGGCTCAGACTCATTCAGCTTCTCAGGGCATGTGTCAGTCAGAGGTAATAGAGAAAAATGGCAGCCTTAAAGTTTTCCCTGAACCCCGCCCCTCCCCCAAATTCAGTTGCCAAGTCCTGTGGATTCTATCTCTATAGCATCTCTCACAACCAATCCCTTCTCTCCACTCACATGGCTTAGCTCGAGTTCCCCCTTCTCTCACCTGGACTCTTGCAATCACTTTCTGATGGATTGATGCCCTAGCTTCTAATCTCTCCCTGGTCACTCCACCACCCATCCAGCTGCCAAAACCAATTTCCTGAGGCATCCACTGACCATGTCACTATCCTGCTGAGGCTCCCATTTGTCTCTATTCAACACTTTAACGCAACAAGCATTTATTAAGTACCTGCAGAGTGTTAGGTAATCATAAACTCTTTGTTTAACATTCCCATCATTTTGATCCATTTCACATGATTTCTCGTTAAATCATCTGTGTTCCTTTCTTCAGAGCTCGCCCTTCTTGACCTTTCTGTCACCTTCGACACTGTGGACCATCCTGTTCTTTCTAGATGTTCTCTCCTCTCTAGGTTTTCATGATACTGATTCTTCTGGCTCTCTTTCCATCTCTCCAACTCTTCTTCTGCTGGTTCTTCATGTCATGGTCCCCCAATATGGCACACCCAATGGTGTGTCCTGGGCCCTCTTCCCTTCTCCCCCTACATCTTTGCCCTTGGTGATCTCATAAGCTCCCATACATTCAGCTATTGTCATTATTCAGACAGTTGGGGATCTACCTCTTCAGCCCTAGACTTTCTTCTCAGTTCCAGTCCTCCATTGCCAATGGTCTCTTGGGTGCCTCAGACTAGATATCCTATAGACATGTCCAAAATGGTCCTCGTTCTGTTCCCACCAAACCGTTCCCTCTCCTCAGCTCTTCTCTATTTGTCGAGGGCACTAGGCATCCAGCCTCTAGTCTTGAGGTCTTCCTCGACTCCCCACACTCACTCGCCTCCCACAGCCAATCTGTTGCCAAATCTTGTGTCTACCTTCATGACTTCTCTGAGATATATCCCCTTATGGCCACTCACACAGCTATGACCTAGTGCAGGCCCTCATCCCTTCATGCCTCGATTATTGCAATAGCTGTGGGAGTGGGGGTCTCCTTTCCTCAGTCTGTTCTCCACTAGGCTGTCAAAGTATAGGTGTGACCTTGTCCCCCCTCTGCCAAATGTGGTTCCCTATTACCTCCAGGATGAAATGTGGGCTCCTCTGACATTGAAGCTCTCCATGACCCGGCCCCTTCCTCTCTTTCCAGGTATCCTATGATCCATTTACCCCGGCTTCCTTGCAGTTCCTCAAACACGAAGTGTCATCCCAGGCCTTTGCCCTAGCTGTCCCTCACACCTGGAATGCTCTTCTACTCACTCCCTGGCTTCCTTCCCAACCCGACTCAAACCCCACCTTCTAGAGGAGTTCTTTCCTGGGAGCCCCAGCCCTGATGCTTTACCCTTTCAGATTGTCTTCTACCTGTCCAGTTATTCACCTGCTTTCTCCTCCACAAGAATGTAAGCTTCTTGAGGGCAGGGACTATTTTTGTCTGTCTTTGTATTTTTGTATCATATACTTTGAGGCACATAGTACGCAGTTGCTAAGTGTTTGTTGACTGACTGACTCAGCCAAATTGGCCAACCTGACATACCATCTCCAGCCTGCACACCTTTACCCAAGCTGTGCTATAGGCCCAGAATGCTCACCCTCCTTGGCTCTACCTGGTCTAATTCCTAGCTCCCTTCAAGGCTCAGCTGGGCTGCCGTTTCCCCATAAAGTCTTCCTGACCTCCCCAATAATTAGGTACTCCTTTGTAGGGTGCCCTCTCTCTGTCTCTCTCTCCATCTCTCCCTCTCTCTCTCTGTGTATATGTACATATATGCATACTCACACGTGTATTTTGTATTGACTCATCTGCATACATATATCTCCTCAGCAGAATGTAAGTGCGCTCAGCAGCAGCTGTCTCACTGGTCTCTGCATCCCCAGGCTCAGTGTGGGACTTAATAAATGTTTACTGAATTTCCTTAGAAGCTCCTCTCTCAGCACACGAGGCTTCCCCAATCCTCACCACAGGGCAGCCACCTACCCCAGTTCTGAGGCTTTACCACCTACCTGATTTGGGTTTGGGGTGCCTGAAATATCATTCATGCTCCGGCTCTGGGCGTGACCTAAGGGAGCAAAAAAGGACTTCTTTAGCTGGGGAAATTCCTCTAATCCTGGGGTCCCACTGGCCTTTGGATCTTTGGTCAGAGTAGGGAGATCTCTCCCAGCACCTCAACAATCTGCTTGCTACCTGCCCCTTTTGCTCCTTCTAGGAACAGCGGTGAGTACTAGAGTGAATACAGTGGGTTGGTATCAAGGTCAGCTCCTGCTCAGCCCAGAAAGGTCAGGAACAGCAGGCTAGCTATGCCTCTGGATATGTGCTACTGCTGGACTCACTTAGGAGATGTAGCTCAGAGAATAGGAATAGAATGTCAGAGGTCTAGAACATAGAGCACAGAATGGAAGAGGTAGGAGGGAAATTAGGACATAAAGCACAGAATGTCAGAGCTGGGAGGAAACCACATAGAACACAGGATATCAGAGCTAGGAGAGACCTTAGAACATAGAATACAGAATGGGAGAGGTGGGAGGGGCCTTAGAACATAGAACACGGAATGTCAGAACTGGGACGAGTCTTAGAACATAGAGCCCAGAATGGGAGACATAGGGGGGAAATTAGAACATAGAACACAGATTGGGAGAGGTGGGAGGGAAATTAGAACATAAAACATAGAATATCAGAATTGGGAGGGAACCATGTAGAACAGAGGATATCAGAGATAGGAGAGACACAGAACATAGAATGGGAGAGATGGGAGGGAAATTAGAACATAGAGCGCAGAATGGGAGATGTGGGAGAGAAATTAGAACACAGAATACAGAATGTCAGAGTTGGGAGGGAACCACATAGAACAGAGGATATCAGAGCTAGGAGAGACCTTAGAACATAGAATACAGAATGGCCAAGTTAGAAGGAAACTTAGAACATAAGCAGATCAGCATTGGAAGAGACCATAGCTGATAGAGGCCACCAGGTGGCGCCATAGTGCACAGAGCCCTGGGTCTGGAGTCTGGAATTCAAATCTGGCTTCAGACACTAGCTGTGTAACCCCGGGTGAGTCACTTGACCCTGTTTGCCTCAGTTTCTTCATCTGTAAAGTGAGCTGGAGAAGGCAATGGCAAACCACTCCAGTACCTTTGCCAAGAAAACCTCAAATGAGGTCATGGAGAGTTGGACATGACAGAAAATTCCTCAACAACAGCAGCTTCTACTACAACAACTTCCTGGCAGTGAAGCTGACTTGTAAAAGTAGCTAATTAAAGCGGGGTTGTTTCAGTGCCCATCTCTCTACTGTCCCATCCTCCTCCGCTTCAGGGGCAGATTTCCATAAGCAGGTTCAGAGATTGTCCCGGCTTGAGCCAGGGATGCCTCCCATAACCCTGCCTATCTCTTGCCAACTCTCAGGCTCAGCCCAAGCCCATGGCCCCCCGCCTAAGCCCAGGACCCCCGCCTAAGCCCAGGGACCCCCGCCTAAGCCCAGGACCCCCGCCTAAGCCCAGGGCCCCCCGCCTAGGCCCAGGGCCCCCTGCCTAAGCCCAGGGACCCCCGCCTAAGCCCAGGGACCCCCGGCCTAAGCCCAGGGACCCCTGCCTAAGTCAGTAACACCAAGCCCCTGCTGGTGGTGAAGTCCACACTCTCTCCACCTTCCCTGTGGCCTCCCCCAGCTCCCTGCTTTGTCTTTTGCCACGTCCAGGATCATCTGTGCTTATTCTTGCCTTTTAGGGTTTTTCCTAGAACGATCCAGAGCCGAGGCCCAAATCCCTTTGGCTGCTCTGTTCTCATTTTCAGGGAGAATCAGCACAAAAGAATTAGGTTATTCTGTGTGGCCCCAGAGGGCAGAACCACGAACAACTGGGATGGGGCTGGGGGGTGGGGTGGGGTTGGGGAGGTGAAGGAGATGAAGGAGGACAATTGAGCTGGATGTCAGGAACTGTCCCAGAACGAACTGGGCTGCCTGGAGGAGGGGTGGGATCCCCCTCCCCGAAGGTCTTCATCCAGAGGCTGGTTTTGGGGGCACGTTATAGGCAGGAATCTTGCCTTGTGTGGGTTGTACTAAGTGGCTACTGAGGGCCCTTCCGAATATAAACTTTCTGAAATGCTCTGAACGTGATCACGTCCCCCTAAGGACGAGCTATGGCAATGAAAAACATATGCTGGGCGTTCCAGCCCTAAACCTGCTTTGAGCTCAGCCAGGTAATTCAGGCCAGAGACTTGTTTTCTTTCCCCAGAATTACATGGATTCTTTTTTCCAAACCTCTGAGAGTTCTCTCTGGCAGCAGGAAGGCCGGTCTCCGTGAACCACATTTTTCTGGCAGACGGGAGTTGGCATCGCTCACGGGGCTCTTACGCAAAGGCCTTTCTCCCCAGGAGTCCATGAGGCGCATTTGATTATTCTGACCACAGGAACCCTTTACTGGGGATTGATGCCATGCCCCTGGGGGAACCTTGGAACTGGGTCTGCAGCTCTGTCCTGAGAATGGAGGGCTGTGCCCATGGCCAGGGCTCAAGTACGTTTGGCTGCTTAATTAATTAATTAACGTTCTTTGGGCACTTCTCCACCCCGTTCTACCTTGGATCACAGCGATCTGTGTCCTTGTCTCATCTTCTCTCCCAAACTGAGAACAGGGACTGCGTTTCTTGATTGACTGACTGACAGACTGACTGACATTTGGACAGGCTCCAGGGCATGAGGCAGAGCCTCGGACACAATACCCTCGCAGAGCCTCCACCCTCTGCCTTTACCAATGTACCTTCACAAGCTGCCAAAGAATCCTCTGCTTCTTCAGTACCTCTCTATTGTCCCCTGGATTAAATATAAATGGCTAAGACCGGCATTCGATGACTTTCAGAACCTGACCCCAGTCTACCTTTCCGGACTTATTTCATGTTACTCCCCATCATAGCCTTTACGTTCCAGCCACACAGAACTATTGGCTTTCCCCCCCATCTTGCCTCTTGCCTCTGTGCGTTTGTGTTGGCTGGAATATGCTCCCCAAACATCTGCAGGGCTATTTCATGTCAAGAAGAGATCCGACATGTTCTTTGACCCCAGGTTCTCCCATGAGTCGCTTCCTTCTGGCCCATCCAACCCTGTCTAAAGGGGCCTGGAGCAGGCTCCTCACCTAGAGCTTTACTCACTCAGCAGTCTGGGACTGATCTCCTGGACAGAGACCCTCAGGTAGCCCACGACCAAAGGGACAACTGAGGAAAGCCAGAGATTGGCCCCAACCTTCCCAGGTGAGGCAGGGAGGGAGCATCACTCAGGCATCTGTTCTGCTCTTTGATCCAGTTTTCAGGTAAATGTCACGAAACACTGAACGGCAATGTGTTTAATGACATCAGAGGCGCTGGCTTGGACACAGGCCAAAGCTCTGAGTGAAAAGGGAATGATGGAGAGCAGGTTTAACCTACACCTGTCCAGAAAGCCCTGCTACAATCTCACCAGAAAGTGGGCATCTGGCCTCTCCAGTGTGCACCCCCTGCCCCCGAGGAAGCCCACCCCACGCTCAGACAGCCCTAATTGTCAAGAAGCCTTCTTTTATGCCCAGACAAGTCAGCGTCCCCTTGCTGATGAACGCTCTTAGACCCACTGTCGGGGCCCAGCCGAGCAAACTTGCTCCCTTCAGTGCCCTAGTGAGCACGTGGCTTGAGTTAGGATGCCCTCCTAGGAGTTAAGCAGCAGAAGCTTCCTAAGCAGCGTTTCCCTAGACACTGCTGGGGTTGCTGGGCAGTGCCATCACAAAGCTCCCTTAGACCCCGAAGCTGCCGCTAACACAGAGGGGCGGGCCAAGGCTAGCGAGGCACTTACACAGCCGTCCGTAGCTGGCATTCTGCCTGGTCCGCAGGTCCTCAGTGGAGTGGTGCAAGTTGGGGCCAACTGCTGTAGGGCTCCGGGCCGGGCCCCTGTCTGCAAGAAGGACAGAATGCCTTAGTGAGTAGGGACTCTGGCTAATGGACCCTGCTCTGCTGGAGTTGTCTGGACCCAGACTGGGCTGAAGGAAGAGGAAATGGGTGATGAATGTTAATAGTGTGTAAAGATTGTAGGAGAAACTTTTATGCTACTCCAGTGGTACGTGCATAAAATTCTGGATCTTAGATCAGGAAGGCTCACATAAAATGCATAATTAAAAAGATTTTCTTTCTTTCTTTCTTTCTTTCTTTCTTTCTTTCTTTCTTTCTTTCTTTCTTTCTTTCTTTCTTTCTTTCTTTCTTTCTTTCTTTCTTTCTCTCTTTCTTTCCAGCTATCTATCTATCTATCACCTTGCAAAATTCAAAGTGCAAATTTTAAGGCTATTTAGATAACTGTTATTATTATTATCATAATTCTCAATCATATACAACAGGTGCAGCTAATAGGATCACAGGTTTAGGGCTGGAAGGGACCTTCAAGGTCATCCTATTTCACCTCCCAGTTTTATGGCCAAGGAGCCTGAGGCGAGGGGGGTTAAGTGACTTACCCCAGTTCTCAAAGCTAGTAAGTATCTGAGTCAGGATTTGAATCCAGCTCTCCCTGACTCTAAGCCCAGTGCTTTATTCACTATGCCATGAGTAGTTTTAAAAATTCTCCCAAGAACCTCAGCTCAGCAGAGACTAGTTCTAATCTAATTATTATACATGCTGAAAAGGAATAACATGTTTTTTTAAAAACATTTTTCAAGTTAAGCTTTTCCCTGATTCAAACTGACCTTTCTGTGTCCCATTTATTCAAACGAGAGAGGTTTTACCATCATGCATTTTCTTTTTTAAATTTTCAAATATATTTTATTTATTTCATTAAACATTTTCCAATTGCTTGTAAGAAAAAATTTAACATTTGTTTTCTAAAAATTGAGTTTCAAATTCTTTTTTTTAAAAATTCTTTTATTTTTTTTAGGCAATTGGGGTTAAGTGACTCGCCCTAGGGTCACACATCTAGTAAGTGTCAAGTGTTTGGTCTGAGGGCAGATTTGAACTCAGGTCCTCCTGACTTCAGGGCCGGTGCTCTATGCACTGCGCCACCTAGCTGCCCCTTTTTCAAATTCTTTCCCTGTCATCCTGCTTCCATCCCTAGAGAAGGCAAACAATACGATATTGATTCTACACCATCACATGTTTTCATACCGTGGCTTTCCTCGTAAGAACTCAAAGGAGTGATGGCGAGGAAAGGAGGACAGAGATGGCATCATTCAAGTGTGAAACCTCACTCCTCCCTGCCTCGCCTGAGAAGGTAGAAAAAGCACCTGCTGCTTGGGGCCAGTCTCTGGCTTTCCTCGGTTGTTCTTTTGGTCATGGGCTGCCTGAGGGGCTCTGTCCGGGAGATCAGCACCAGACTGCTGAGTGAGTGAAGCCCTGGGGTGACTGGGTGGGAATGAAGTGACTGACGAGAGACTCATTCCAGGGAAAGGGAGAGTGGGACAGTGTATTGGGAAATGAGAGGGCTCTCTCAGGCCAGGGGTGAAGATGGACTGGTCTCCGCTGACCCAGTCACCCACAGGCCTTTCCGCTCCCTTGCTCTAAACCTTGCTCTCCCCACCTTTCCTCAGTGCTTCTTTTCCTACCCAGACCTTGATCTTCATGTAGATTGAGAGGGACCTCCCAAGGGCTTTGCCCAATCACCCTTCTCTCCTCTCCGGGAGGTCTCCTGGGTGGGAGGAGGGGTGGTTCCCTGAATTCTCTGGACCACCCTCTGGAGACTTTCCATAGGAGCCAGGAGAGAGGCTAAGGCTAGAATCTCCCCACAGTCAGGGCTGGCCTTGGCTGTCTACCCTGACCAGCGAGGGCCCAACTTACTGGAGGGGGATGAGACAGATTTTCCAATGTCCGCCAGCGAGCGGTGGATGGGTTTCTTGGTCTGATGTCGATGTTTTCTCAAGAGGACGTAGCAGACTCTCTCTCTTAACTCTGGCTTCAGGAGTCCATCTTCTATTTGCTTCTCGACAACATCATCTGATCGAGAAACAAACACCCCCGAGTAGGGCATTACCCAGTGGGATGAGGCAAGTGGTGTGTGACTCCCTCCTCATCCTCCAAGAAATCTTGGAGTGGATGGAGGAAGAAGCACATAGTAATAAGTTTATCGACTGACTGATCCTCACAACAATCCTGAGAGGTATGAGGTACTAATTATCACCATTTTACAGTTGTGGAAACTGATGCAGACAGGAGGTAAGTGACTTGCCCAGGATCACACAGCTTGGAAATATCTGAGTCAGGATTTGAACTCAGAGCTTCCTAACACTCTATCCACTGTGCCACCTCACTGAGCTTGTAAGAAGTAGCATAGCATACTAGAATGTGCTGGGTTCAAGTCTTGCCTGTGACACATACTACGTGTATGATCATGCACAAATTATTTCTTATCTCAGTGCTCCTATCAACCCCTGGAGTCTCTTAAGTCATGCACTGGTAAAGGGCATTTCCATACTGGAAGACCCCCCCCCCAAAAAAGAAAAAAGAAATCCCGAAATTTTCAGCCCTTCTTGGGTTGTTTTGGAACCTTTACAGGTTAGCATTGGCCAACATTTAGATAATGCTTTAGGGTTTACAAAGCACTTTCCTCTCAGCAGTCCTGGGGGGGTTGCCAGTACAAGTATAGTACCTATTTCCCAGATGAAGAACAGAGACTAAGAGAGGGGTCACAGAGCTAGTTAAGTTCAGGTGAAGAGCCAGGATCTTAGGGGGAAGTCCAGCGCTTTCTCCATTGGGCTGCCCTGCCTCATCACATCTGCAGGGTTGGTTTCAAATCTGGGGAACTCTTTGTTTTTTTGGTGAGACTTTGATAATTGGGAATTCATCCAGAGCCAGAGCTGGGCCATCAAGTGACTGGAAGAAGCCTGAGTCTGGAGTCCCCCACTCCGTGGGATGCCAGCCCTGCCGGAATCAACTGCAGGAACCTGAGACATTGAGCAATAAGAAGGGAAGACTTGGAAGGGTGAACATCGCTTCTATCTTTAAATAGTCCAGAAGATGTCATGTGGAAGAAGGGTTAGCTAACCTTGTTCTGTTTGGCTTCAGAGGGTGAAAGGAGAAGCAGGAAGGCAAACTCCGGCTGAGTGAAGGGAATATGCTTAGATACGCCTGCTGTTTAATTGAACCTGCTAATGAGTTTTCATCATCATTGCCAAACTTCAGAGCCAAAATTAGGGTGGGGCAGCTGGAGCTTTGCCTCTGGCACTGAAAATTGGAGGGCGCAAAATTTTGAAATAATGATTTTAATAGATTGTGTAATTTTCAAATTTGTTACATGTACATTTTGACAGCATGATCACTCCTTCAGGAGTATAGAAATGTGTTAGCTAAATTAATTCAGTTAGGAAGCCACCATATGTTGCTCTCTGTCTAATCCACCTTCCAGGCCACAGATCAGATGAGCTCCTCCCTAACCTGGCCATATCTACTCCTCTGGGCTAGCAGCCTCAGCGGCAGTCTTGAGGTATCTCAGGATCTCCCCACATTGTGTCAGGGCTAGGGGTCTCCTCCTTTCTGCAGGGAAGTCTATGTCCCAGGAAATCCTCCCCCACAGGGGTCTTCCCCTATAGCTGAGCTGAGGGCATATTTATTTAGAGCCACATACCATTTGGTGCTGATTGCCCCTGGCACAAAAACTCTAACCTATAACCCATCCAATCCAGTTTCCTTCACCAAAGGCACATGCAGACTCAGTGAGGCAGGAAGGTTTATCACAACTTCCCTCAAGAGAGAGGAAGTGACCAGTCCCACAGTCACCTGAGCAATGAGATGGGCAATTCGATCGATCCTCTCATACCTATGATCTGTGGTAAGGAGCAGCCATCTAAATCCAGAAGCACAGTACCGGTCTGGAGGCAGGTTCGGAGTTCAAACAAGCTATGCAGAGATAACGTCGACACATGGGGCTTACTCCATCTCTCACCTCCTTCTTCAACCTTCTCTTCAAACTTTACCCACCTAGGAAGGGAAAAGGAGGAAATTCAGTTTGGGCAGGGCTGGGATTTGGGGCAAGTGATGTGAAAGCAATGAACGTTGTCTGGGTGGGCTCCATGTTCTGGGGTCAAAGGCAAGGGAGTAGCCTGGGGTTCCTCACACCTCTTCTATCTCTAAAAGATCTCTGCAAAGGTAGTGAAGCCAAAAAAAAAATGTCACAAACTTGGTACCCAAGGCTGGTCTTGCTCAGAGTATATGGCGCATTTATTAAACACACATGACAAACAACTGTGCTAAGCACAGAGGACACTAACACAAGCAAGACCATTCTGCCCTCAAGGAGCTAACATTCTAATGGGGAAGAGAACACATCAAGGGAGACGGAAAGTGGGAGTGGTGTCTATCTCTGCAGCGGAGTCAGTGTCCACCCACCTCTACTGTCCGTGACTTGAAGGATGCTGGGAAAGACTTGAGAACATCTTCGTCATAGGTCCCCACATCAGGTCTGAAATTTATATATTAATGGTCCTCTGGGCTGAGGAATTGAAGCCCCGCCTAAGATAAATGTGATCTGGGAGGGGAAAGGCATTAAGCCAGTGATCCCTAAATACTCTTTTTGGTGGTAGTGGGGGACTACTTTTAATTTTCTTGGAGCCTTGAGATCATTGGTACTTGAGGGAGACAAAATTACAACTGAGGGTACAATGTAGGTGGTTGCTTGGGGCACAACAGAAAGGAAGGAACAACTAGGGATACTTTTTAATGACTTTTAATTAATGCACATATTATTAGTAACTGAATCACTTACTATAACTTAGAGTCAATTAAAGTCATCTATATAACAAGAAAGGTGGAAACCTTCTGGTGGAAAAGGTCCCACCTTAGACACCCAGTAGATGTGTGACTCTGGGTGAGGTAGTTTCCCTCTCTGGGCCATAATCTTCATCTGTAAAGTGAGGCTCTTAGACCCACTGGTCTTGAAGGTCCCTCAACACAGAAGGCCAGCAAGAGCTCAACTTGCAAGCTTTGTCTATGTTTCAAGCATTTGTAAACACACCTGTCCCTTATTTGGTGAAGAATTCACCCTCGTGCCATAGCCACAAAAGGTGCCTCATCTCCTTCCCCTCCTCCTTTTTTGTGGTCTGATTTTTAGTATTCAGGTCATGCATCCATTTTGCATTTATGTGGGATGAGGGGCTGGTCTAAACTTATCCTCCCTCTGACTACTTTCCAGTTTTCATAGAAATTCTTATGAGATGAGAAACTCATTCCTAGATAATTTACGTTTTCAAGTTTATCAAACTCTGGGTTATTGAGTTAAAGCTTCCCAATGTCTCATCTTTTCTCTATTGATCATCTTTTCTAATTTTTAACCAGGATTAAATAGTTTTCATGATTCCAACTTTATAGCAGAGGTGTTAGTCTGGAAGGGCTATTCTGTGGGAGTTATTTATTTTTAATGTAATGGACGCCCAGAAGGGAAGGGGCCACATCTGAAGTACCACTTTCATTCTGTTTTTCATGGAAATTGAAAATGCTAATGTCACATGCTTTTAAAACCAAGAACATAAAACCTAATACTTTATTCAGTACTACCAATTAAGTGGGAATAGTCAGTCAGTCAGTCAACAAACATTTATTAAGTGCCTGCTATGTGCCAGGCACTGTGCTAAGCTCTGGAGATACACGTATGGGAAGAAAAAAAAAGATAGAGAGAGACAGGGAAAGAGACAAAGAGAGAGAAATGGATAGATAGTATAGAGAGCCATGCACAAAAGAAGGGAATGAGACAGAGAAGAAACAGAAAGAAAAGGAGCTCAAAGGGATTTGAAATGAAGAATTCGTGTTTATACCTCCTGTTTCTTTAGTAGCATTATTTATGGTGATCAAAGATCATCACCACAGACCTCAGAAATGGAGATTAGAGCTGAGACCATTGCTTATTTTTTCCTAATTAAAAATAACATTTAAACACTCTGAACTTAACAAACACGAAAGGGGAGGACACATATAAGAGTGTCAAGAAAAAGAGGGTTGCGCCTGACATTTGGCTTCCTTTATGCACAATTTACTTTAAAAAAAATCTCTATTTACAGATTCAACATATCACTTTTAAAGCTGTGTTTCTGTTTTTTCTTAGATTTTTAGAGCAAGGATGGCCAACTTCCCAACACCCAGGTCCCTATTAATGTGAATAACAATTTCCTGGAATGGCCACATTGCATTTCTGTAGGGGAAGGAGTTAAAAGGTAGCTCTGAGGAGCCCTATCTCTACTCTTTAAATAACAAATTCAGAAGAATCAGTGAGCAGAAAAATATGCCTGGCACAGAGCTCACACTTAATCAGTGATTATAAATGGATTGATTTCAAGTTTGAACTTTTGCTAGTCTTTCCACAGTAGCCAATGTTCGCATGGCAGCACAGGCTCAGCTATTATTGCTATGAAGACACTTGACTCTCTTGCTGACTGGTCATAGGTCCCTTGCAAGTCCTTACATTGTAATATTATTTTGCATGTTTTGAAGATGATATTTTAGAGGACAGCAGTGGCAAACTAAAATGGAAATAGATTCCTCTGGCCACATATTGACTTAGAAAACCACAAATTAACATCATCTATGTTTTGTTGTATTACTTCTTTTGTTAAACATTTTCCAATTACATTTTAATCTGGTTTGGAGCCAGTTTGACCCCTCTGATTTAAACCACAACATATCCAAATTTATGAAGCTCTAGCTTCAGTTGGGTCTACAGAGAGCCTTTCCAAGAAAGAGATTGAAGCTCATTCCCACGTATTAGAATTAATCAACAAACGATCATTTGTTAAAATCTTGCTGTGTGCAAATTGCTGTGTTGGAGACCTTAGGTGCAGATAAAGCATGACCCTTGCCAATGTGGAACTTATTTTATTTTTATTGCTTTGTGGAGGCAATCGGGGCTAAGTGACTTGCCCAGGGTCACACAGCTAGTAAGTGTCTGAGGCTGGATTTGAACTTCTTTCTGACTCAATGCCCAGTGCTCTATTCACTGCACCACTTAGTTGCTACCATTGTGGAGCTTATGGTCCAGCAGAGGGCTAAGGGTCACACTCAGATTGCTCTAGTATACGATAATACATAATACATCTATAATCTATGTGAGGAATGGGGGAAGACTAGGGAAGTCTTCATGGAGAAAGTGGCATTTGAGTTTGCTCTAAAAGGTAATGAAGAAGGAGAGGAAAACAGGGCATAAATAACAGTGTGGGTAAAGGAGGAAGGGCACAGTCCATACTGGGTGCCAGAGAATAATGCATTTTGGCTGATGACCAGAGGGTATGATAAGAGATAAAACTGGGAAGGTAGGAAAATGCTGGGTGCAGAAGCCAAACAGCAGTGAATGGGAAAGGAAATGTGTGGTGCTGAAGGGGAGATGGCCAGGGTGGGCAGCCAGGAGTTTAAGAGCTAAAGGGAAGAAAGACCTAGGACGCTAGCTTGAGGAGATTGATTTTGAGGTGTGGAGTAGAGGAGATGAGGAGCTTTAGGATTGGGCCCAACTGAGCATGTTTGTAGGAAAGTGCCCAAAGATACATTGGGGGACAAGTGGGTGAGTTACTGCTGGAAAAAGGTCCTAGAAAAGATGCTAGAGAATTAGGATTTCATCTCCTCTCTGAGCCTAGAAGTGCTGCAATACCCCAATCTCATTGCACCAGAGTCTCCTCTGCTTTTGAGTTCTCTTCATCAGAACAAAGAGCAAAAGCCCCCATTCGGCACCTGTTTCTCTCATGGCTCCCCTTGATGCCTCCTCCTGTGCTGTGGATGGAAGTTAAGCACAACCATGTTTGTCCCTCCCCCAAATCCTGATCTCTACTGTCAAACCCACTGGGATAGTCAGTGCAAACCCACGGATGGCAGACATAAGAAGAAAAGCAACTGGGGATTCTCATCACCTGACAACTTTCCTTCACCCTTTTCACATAAATGCAGCTAGCTTCTAAGAAACAACATCAGGTTCCCTGTCCCTGCTTGGGTGATGCCCAAGAGGCAGGATTTGAACCCATGCCTATATAAACCTTATACAAAATTTTCCTAGGATGCAGGAGAGGCAATTTTGTGTAGTGAGAGTGATTGTGCTGAACCTGACATCACGAAGCTGGGTAACAGCTCTACGTTGGACAGCTCATTGTTTTTTGGACAGCATCAATCCTTAGAAAGGGGGCCTCTAGGTGACACCATAGTGCATGGAGCACTGGGTCTAGAGTCAGGAAGACTCTTTTTTGAGTTCCAATCTAGCCTAAGACACTTACTAGTTGTGTGACCCTGGACAAATCACTCAACACTGTTTACCTCAGTTTCCTCATCCGTAAAATGAGAGAAGGAAATGGCAAACTATTCTAGTATCTTTGCTAAGAAAACCCCAAATGGGGTCACAAAGAGTCAGACATGACTGAAAGGACTGATCTACTACACTGGTCTAGTGGATGGAGCACTAGCTATGTATTTAGGAAGAGTCTCTTTCACTTTTTCCTCCCAATTCTACCCACCTTAGCTTCAAGCCCAGCCCTAGTCTCTGCCACCATGAATTTTGACTCAACACTGTTCTCTCTCTACTGTGACCCTTGCAATCTATACCACACAATTTAACTTAATTTACATATGATGTTGGGAAATAGTGTGGCCTCATGGATAGAGAACTGACCCCAGAGCCAGTAAGATCTGGGCTCATGTGCTGCCTTTGACACATACTTGATCTGATCTTCTCTTATCTTCTTTGGAGATCGCTCCCACTATCGTCCCCAATGCCTCTTTAAATATCAAGCTGTGCTCTATTGGTTTCTTCCCTGATGCTTACAAAAATGCCCAAGGTTCCCTCATTCCTAAAACCTCTCCCTAGCTCCTACCATATCCACTAGCAATTGTCCTTTACATCCTCCCCCCACCTGTCTTTCTCTTGCGTGTACATACGCACACTTTCTTTCTTCTCTCTCTTTGTCTGTCTCTCTCACACAAATACACATAATTTCTCCTCCCTCTCTCTCTCTTTC